TTTGTCTTGTGATGATGTATTTAGCTAATTTGGATCTTGGTTAGAAAACATTTCATTTAAGGGCATTGAGTACAAGCAAACAATTGGCGATTTACACTTTGCATCCTTATTTATTCTTTATCTTTCACTGCTTCTATATAATATTATGTTTTTGCAGCAGTTTCCTTTTCTCTCCCACTGTGGCGCCAGCTACATTGGCTGAAGTGTTCCTCCTTCGTTTCCAAGGTTCCATAATTTCGATTTAGGTCGCGTACTTCGTTGTTTCTTTGTAAAAGTCAACCTTAGTCATCCTTCCATACAGATTTTCAGCAAGATTGAGGTCAAGGATATTTTCATACCACTCTGAGGTCTTGACCTTGGCCTATTTAAAGGTATTCTTGCCAAGTCTTTGCTTTATCACACGGTGCGTTATATTGCAAGGGAATAGTGCGCATGTGAATGTGCATGGGAGTTTCCAATTGGCCTTGTAAAAGTTCTAAGTGCCTTTGGCCATTCATAGTCGTTCAAGACTCCAAAGAGGTCTAGACTTTGACACATGAGCCAAAAATCATCGGAGTTGGTTGATGTTTCATTGTCTGCATGGCATACTTTGCGCCGTATCTTTTACCTGGTGGCATCCTGGTATGGCACTGCGGAACTACAAACTGCTGCAAAGTCAAATAATCTTACAATATCACCTTTTCCCAATGCTATGCAGTCAATATGTGGTCATGGTGTATTACAAACGCCAGCCACTTCTCTTTCATATCCACGGCCAGTCTTGGTTGATGGGATGGGTTACAAGATTTGAGCCAGGATTCATTACCTAAATAAAGACCTAGATCAGGAAAACGATCAGGAAGAAGACCAGAGAGGGAGGGTGGCAAGATGGCAGAAAGGGGACGCGGACAACCAGTACACGGGCTGATAGCACACAGTGAAGGTCATTGTTGGAAGGCTATATCCTGTAGTGGACGGACAACGCATAGAAAGAAAGATTTATATATAATGAAAGTATCATTTATATATAAGGAATGCATTAAGAGAGACAACGGAGAGTGGGGGAGGGAGGGGGCAGAGAGAGAGACAGACAGACAGACACAGAGAGAGAGAGAGAGAGAGAGAGAGAGAGAGAGAGAGAGAAAGAGAGAGGGAGAGACAGAGACAGAGACAGAGACAGAGACAGAGACAGAGACAGAGGGACTGAGAGATAGAGAGACAGAGAGATAGAGAGACAGAGAGACATAGAGACAGAGAGAGGGGGAGGGAGGGGGGTAGAAAAACATAGGAAAGGGGGGGGTGTGTGATGGGAGAGGAACCCCTGTGAATACTGCTTCTGGTTGGATATTCAAAACAGAACGGATGTAATAAAATTTGTATCATGTAAGTTATACTATTGTGACACAGTACGCACCAAAGCGTATATTCCTGCACTACACAACCCCAAATTTTGACAAGGTCAGCGCTGTTTCAAATGAAAACAGAAGTCATTAGCATGCATAGTTTGAATATCTCTGTGTCCACAATTACTTACAACAGCTATTTGTTATTTTGTTTCATTAAAGCATACATCTGTATCCCTTAATACCCCCCCCTCCCCGTAGCCACCAAACTGCGGAGATGCTTCACCTCTATTCACAGTCATTGGGCTAGATCTAGCCGAAAAGAGGTTGATCCAATAATGTCATTCATATGATAATCACAGTGAATAGTCCTTCGGCTTAACGCAAGAACTGTTCTTTGTACCGGTACCAATCCCCAATACGCATTCGTGAGTAAGGGACATTGGGCAATGATAGAAGAGTAACGTTCCACTCAAAAGTGATGAAAAAAAGGTACGAAAAATAATACCCCCCAAAAATCCCCACTCTTCAAGAGGAGAAAAGGCGAAAAGCACTTTGCTGTTCATAACGTTTTCTGTTAGGAATAGCTGACAACTTATTTGTCCATTTACTGCTATCTGATAGGTGCAAAGAGAAAGCCCGTGTGCTGCTGGTTCAATAACACCTGCTACCTGGTATTACAGAATTCCAGCTTCATCTCAATAGTTATACTTTTGTCCACGAAAAACGTAAATAACTGTCGTGACTTTTGAAGTAAACAGTGCGTATCCTTCTAATTTCGTTTAGAAAGATCCTCTTCTTGACAATGATGGACAGTAAATTATTGTACCTCCCGCC